CCCCATTCCCAGCTGCTCCGCTCCAGCTGCTGGCTCTAAGCCCTAAGGGTGGCAGAGAGGTCGGGCAGGGAGCGGCTGATGAGGCTCTGGGGGGTCTCCTCCTGCCCGGAGGCCCCGTTACCGGGAGGACAACATCATGACGAACTCTGCGGGGCGAGGAGGGGGGCGTGAGGGGAGGGGACCCCACCTCGGCCCCAAGGGAGGGGCGGGGGGTTCCCTCACCATCAAAGTCCACGTGCCCATCCCCGTTGAGGTCCACGTCCTGCAGGATCTCGTCCACCTCCTGTGCCTTGAGCTGCTCCCCGAGCAGGGCCGCGATGGCCTCGCGCATCTCGGCCGTGCTGATCTCCCCATCCCCGTTCATGTCGAACTGTGGGCTCGGGGTCACCTCCAGCCATAGCCACCCCCAGCCTCCCAGGGCCACCATCCCCTCTTGGGGGTGCTTGGGGTCACCCCCACAGTCGTCGTTCTCTCCCGTGCCTTTGGTCACCCCGTGGTCATTGTCCCCACTGTGGTCTTCCCATGGTCACTGTCCACTCCCGTGCTTGTTGTCACCCCTATGGTCACTGTTCCCTCATGGTCACTGTCCCCTCCCTGCCTGTGGTCGCTGTCACCCAGTGGTCACTTGTCCCCTCCGTGTCTTTAGTCACCCCTCACAGTCACCATTCCCCTGTGGTTATGGTGTCCATATGGTCTTCCTGTGGTCCCTGTCCCTTCCATGCCTGTGGTCATCCCCATGGTCACCATCCCCTCACTGTCACCATCACCTCATGGTCTCCCTGTGGTCACTGTCCCCTCCATGCCTGTGACCCCTTGGTCACTATCCCCCCATGGTCATGCTCTCCCCATGATCTCTGTCCCCTCCCTGCCTGTGGTCACTCCCATGGTCACCATCCCTCCATGGCCACCATCCCCCAGTGATCTTCTCATGGTAAGTGTCCCTTCCATGTTGTTGGTCACCCCCATTGTCACCATCCCCCCATGGTCACCATCACCCTAAGATCTTCCCATGGTCACTGTCCCCTCCATCCTGTGATCTTTCCCATGGTCACTGTCTGCCCACGATCAGGGTCTCCCCATGGTCTTCCCATGGTCACTGTCC